GGTGATGTTTTCTCTTCATCGACTGTCACCATGTATGCTGTTATGCACTCCTCTAGGAAAAGTTCTCTAGGCATGAACTCCCAAAGGGTTATTGGAGTTGGATGAGGCTGTTGAAGCACTTCCTCCTCACTATCCAGGGGTACCTGAGGTGCTTTCTTTGGCACTTTCTTCTTCTTGGAGGCATTGTATATTCGTTGTCTTTTAGTCCGCTTTGGTATAGTTGACGTACGAACGACGGGACGAGGAGCCTTATTCTTACACCGAGGGACGACAATCCATTCGATCTCGTCTTGAGGAGATGTTTCTAAGCCACTAGAGTAGATGGAGATAGTCTTGCCCCCATTCGAAATGATTCCTTCAGGTTGGTGTTGTACCTTCTTCCTGGTAGTCCAAGTCATCAGTCATTAGCTCATAGAGAGTTGGGATGTTGGGATTCTCGAACCTTGGCATGTCAGGATAGGTATAAACCGTGGTCACCTCTTGATCAACAATAAAGCGGATAGGAACTTCCCCCTGTGGGAGGGATACCGTAGGAAAAGATGTCATTGGGGGTCCAGCTACCTTGTCCCCAATCTTCATAATTTTAGGAGAATCCGCTAAGTTGTCATGTGGTGTTGACTTCCTTTTCTCAAGTGCAAAGTTCCTTGAGGTCTAGACGTTCACTATAGCTTGAGTGGATGAAGAACCTATGGAGGATTGCAGTGGTACTGGGTCAAAAGACCCAAAAGTCACCATGGTGACATTAGTAGTAGCAAAATTATCTCCAAGGTCTAACTTGGTCTTTCCTTGTTCTGCGAGATGAAGTATTTTGTCCTTCAGGACAAAACACTTTTCAGTTGGATGACTTATGATCTGATGGTATTGGCAATACTTGGGATCTGTCACACGTCCTTGCTCTTCAGATCGCTTGGGTAGTGAAAGCTTAATCAACTTTGATTGGAGTAGCTGGCTGAGAATTTTTGGAATGGATACTCCTCTTCTAACTCCTTCAAAGTAGGACTAGACTTCTCTTGGCCTTGGTTTGCAAAATATTTCACTTTGATCTCCATCTTCTTCTTCTTGTCGGAGATCTTAACTGGTGTAGTGGCAGTATTCATGACTTCATTTCCTTTGGAGGAGGAGGTCTTAAGGCTCTTCTTGACTTCCTTCTTACCTTCCTTCTTTTCGCGAGAATCACTTAGTTGGGGATTCCCATGCTTGGATAATTGGATCTCCAAGTCATGAGCTCGAGTATCTAACTCTTCGAAGGTGGTAAGCATGTTCCCTTTGAGGCTATAGAGTAGTCCCCAATGCATCCCTTGGATGCATGTGTTTATGGCAGAGGATTGGTTAATTTTTTCCTTGCACTGAAGGGCGAGGTTCCTCCATCGCTCGATGTAGTCGATGATGGACTCATTCTATCTTTGCCTTGTAGTGGAGAGTTCTGGAAGTCCAACAGTTCGTTGTGTACAGTAGAAGCGAGTGAGGAATTCTCTCTCAAGTTGGTCCCATCTATCAATGGAACCTGGCTAGAGGTCGGTGTACCAATCAAACGCTGTAGACTTGAGGGAGCGAACAAACTATTTCACCATTTGGTCATCGTAGGTTCCCACGTTGTTGCAAGTCTCAATGAAGTGGGCTATGTGTTGCTTCGGATTGCCCTTCCCGTCGAATTGTTGGAACTTAGGAGGTTCGTAGCCGATTGACATGCGCATCTTATCAATGTGGCTAGTGTATGGTTTGGCATACACTAAAGAGGTCTGTGGAACTCTTCCATATTGAACCTTTATGGTGTCAGTGATCATGTACTGGAGCCATTGCATTGTCAAAGAAGCAACAAAGACTTGGGTAGTGTCTTGCATCATGTTCTGCACTATGACACGATCATACTCCTCTTGTTGCTACTTCAGTTGCTTTTGGAGGTTAGGAGTCATTGAAGGAGTGAATCCCGGAGGGTGAGAAGGTCCTTGACTGGATTCTGCTTGGCGGTTTTGTATCTCTAGTTTGTTCATTAGGAAGGCAATCTGGAGATCCTTCTCAACATTAGAGCTCTTAAGGTTGTCAATGGCTTCGGCCATCTTTTGGAGTCATTCTTCCATTGTCGCGGCTTCTGTCATCATCACTGGTATAATGCCACTAGAAGCAGAGTAGGAATTGTATGATGGAGAGGAGTATGACTCCGTCCTCAACCCAGTGCTAGATTGATCATCTGGGAGAAAGTATTTCTTTCCTTTCACATCAATGTGTGGAGAGTTGAAGAGGCTTTCCTTTTGCAGAGTAGTCGCCTTGGTGATTTTCCATGTTGGAAGCTCTAGTGGAGATGGTAGCTGCACTTTATTGGATTTCGCCATAGCACGTGTGACAGGACGGTTATAGGAAGAACTAAAAGTGCCTGAGGACTTGTGGAAGGAAGTTGCAGCCTTCTTAGTAGCCATTGGATGATTGTTGCAGTTGTCGACTCAAAAGATGAGAGGAAGAGAGCGTCCCATTGGGCATGCCAGAAATTTGTCGACACAAATTTCGTGTATTTTGATTAGCACAAAATATGGAGACAAATTACAAAAATAAATTTGTAATAAAGAAAACAAACAAGGGAATGAACTCTTTTTGATTTCTACTCGATGACGTGAGCAACCTCTGATTGACGTTCGAATTTGGTGAAGACGAGGGTCGTTGGCGTGTTTCTCGTATTTCTTGAAGTGTTGATGTAGATTTCCTTGATTTTGGTGCTTTGGGAGATTTGATATAGATTTCTTCACTCTAAGCTTCACGCTTGATTGGCTGTGAATGATGCTTCTCTAAGAAGGGCCCTTTTGCGATGGCTTAATCTTCTTTGGAAAGCTTGAATTTAAGTGAGTTGTAGAGAATTAATAAGCTTTCCCCTTTTTTCTTCTCTCTTGATCTTGAAGTTGTTGAAGTTTGTAAGATCTTATAGTTACTTTCAATCCTCAAGTGTTAGTGTGTGAGAGCTTCTTGCAATGTGATTCTCTAAAAAGGAACCCTCTTTCTTCCTAGGCAAGGCTATTTATAGCCAAGGATTTGGACTGCCACCTCAACTCACTTAGCTAACCAATCCTATGTAAGTGAGGTATTGGATTAGCATTAACTCCTATACATGCACCATTATGTAGGAGTTAGTGGTTTTGCCAATGGGACCACCCTATTACAATAGGATATGGGTCAGATTGGACTTAATACACTTAGATCCTTAGGCCACCAAGTCATATTTATGTAGACTTGGGCCTTGGGTCAATGAAGGCCCATATTAATTTAGAGGCTACAATGTAAATTAAACCCATTTATTTGGCTTTGAATATTCACATGTCTACAATATATATATATATATATATATATATATATAAGCATATATATATATATATAAGCATTAAGTAAGCAACCAGGTTTCAATTCCTTCTACCAATATATTGATTTATATAGGAGTGATTTTAAACAGACTTAAATGGAATAATTAATTAACGTGCAAAATAAGATTATAGGCATTAATTAAAGTAATTGAATTTGAATTTCAACATTGGAATGGAAAACACCAATAAGAAGATACGCTAAATGATAATTAGGTGAGATGCATTATGATGGTTTAACACGTTTGGATGAGATAGGTTTGGGAAATTGGGAAGAAAAGTTGAACAAGATTGGGATTAAGGATGCTTAAGTGTAGGGCTGTTCATAAGAATGCCCAACCCGACCAAACCGACCAACCCGGACCGACCCAACCCGAGTCGGCTAGGTTTTCATTAGTACCGGTCGGTTTCGGGTTGTGCAAATATATAAACCGATATAAAACCAACCCGACCCGAACCGAACTAGTCTTCTACTAGTTCGGTAGTTCTTAGTTTGAGTAGTTTCCTACTTAACTATAACTAGTCTTCTACTAGAACTAAAATACCCATTAGGCAATTACAATTAGAATAGGCAATCTATCCTAATTTCTAACTTTCTATAATCTTACACCAAATAGGCAACCCATTAAGTAATTACAATTAGAATTCAATTAGGTGTCATTTGTACAGGAGCAAAACTGAAACCGACCCAACCCGACTCAAACCGACCAGGTCGGTTTGGCCTATCAGTGGGTCGGTTTCGGTTTCCACCTCAGGTAACCCGACCAGGTTGGGTCGGTTGGGAAAACCCTAATAAACCGACCCAACCCGACCCGTGAACACCCCTACTTAAGTGGGTTCAAAAATGGAAAAAGCAATTTTTGTTGATACCCTACCTGTTGCCATCTGTAGACAGGGAGTTCGGCTTAGTCTAACACCCGTTCGAACAGCACAGCCTTGAATTAGAGATATCCCCGCACTCTAATTTATTTCATTAAGAAAAATTGAACAAGATTGGGATTAAGGATGCTTAAGTGGGTTCGAAAATGGAAAAAGCAATTTTGGTTGATACCCTACCTGTTGCCATCTGTAAACAGGGAGTTCGGCTTAGTCTAACACCCGTTCGAACAGCACAACCTTGCATTAGAAATATCCCCGCACTCGTGCTTTATTTCATTGGGAGATATTCCCAATGCAAGCTTGCAAGAGGCTGTTCAAACGGTGTGGCCATGGGCTTGCACTGACCGAAGCCGAACTTGTAAGCAAGACCCTATCAAATTAAAACCCAAAAGATATAGAATTTCCATCCAAAGAAACTCTCCATATTCCAAGGTTCTAAAACAAAGAATTTCCTTTTTTTCATGTTTTGAAACGTTAATAGGTAATGAGACAGGGCCCCTCAGAGTGTACAATTCTTGATATCTGTGTAGTCTCCAATTGCGAATAGGGATTTGCTCCTCAGAGTGTACAACTCACACTGCCCTCACAAGCACATCGAGAACATCTTCCCATGAATAACCACACACAAGTACCAAAGATATTCCCAATGTACAGCCAGAACGTATTGTGAGGTTGGTGTGATGTCTGATGAGCACTGTGTGAAGACTCCAATTCCTACCTTTTATCTTTGGCTGCGCATGACGTAACCATTTCGGATTCACCGGTTCAAGCCAATTAAAATCTTATCGAATGGCAGTTTCTAAGTGAACTGATGTAAGACTTGGAAGGCATACAACTAATATCAATTAAAATGTCAACCTTCTAGTACTTGTTTGTGAGAGAGAGAGAGAGAGAGAGACTATGGTCAAAAGTAATTGTGAGGAACTTCGAGCATGGATTGTTCCTTTTTGGTGGGTACAAAAACAGACTCAACGGACACGGCGTGCTTTCTCTTCTTGTCCTAACCCAAGTGATTTCTGGGCATTTGAGATGCCTTCAGGATCTGAAAAAATAAAACGAGAAATAAGATAAAAAAGAATCTAGTTAGATACAATAGCAGAATCACAGCAGGACTAATTCGAAGGCTTTGTAGATCATTTTGACAAATGTAAATAAAAATCTTTTAAAACAAAATCATCCTATAAACGTTGTTGCATAGACATGGACATGAAAATCAGAATCTGAATCATTCCCAGAGTCTCATTCGGTAAGATGAAAAAATAAGGACTTACAAACACACCTATGGACAAGTATAATCTATTAAAATACTTCATATTTTGTTAAATTTTAACATTATAATCTTATAAAATAAGTTGTTAAAACTTAAAAGCTAATCTTTGTTACTTAATAGCATTTTGCAGGAAAAATGGCATTTGATGCATATATTAACTGATTATTTCTATCAAATAGATGATGAATCCATGGGGTGCCGGTGTGACTCATCCATTTAGGAGAGTATGCAACACTGCCAATAGATCAAATATTAAGTCATCACCAAATTTATTGCCCTCCTGTTTTTTCCTTTTCTTTTGTACCAAATACAGAAGGCTCAGTTTGGAAAGAGTGCAATAACAAATATGTACAGTGCAAATACATTCAAAATAATACAAAAACAAGGTTTTGCTCTCAGTTGCAAATCACACCAGCAATAAAAATGGGATTAAACCAAAAAGAAAAGAAAGAGGAAGAAGAGGTTTAGGAGGGAAAAAGAGAATGGAAGAAAGGGGAAGAGGAAGAGAGCTGATTGTTTTTTCTCAGTCCCTCAATTGAATTATATATGCTAAATATTAAAAATGGAAAAATTACATGATTGACCCTAGTAAGGCCGCTAACTTAAAAAAATAAATAAATAAATAACAAAAAAGCCTCATCAAGAAAGCCCACGACAGCTGAAATGAAACTAATAAGTTTAGAAAAACTAAGGCCCACTCGGCCTAGTCTCTCTAAATTATGTTGCAACCTTGCTCTAGGAACTCCCTTGGTAAAAATATTTGCTATCTGCTCTTAAGGGGGAGAGTGTGAATGAAAACCAGACTCCCTTTTGTACATGGTTTAACATGTCCCTAAATTTCCTAAGCAACACGAAATTTTACTAGAATCGACATATTCCCTAATGAACACTACCAACATTTTATGGAGTACAAGAGTTTCCATGATATATTTCCATTTCCATGGGTAATGACACAATTTTACTGAAATGGACACATTCCCTACTGAACACCACCGGCACTATGTGGAGTACAAAAGATAACTTTATAACATAAGTTGGTGAGAATATTGTAAATATGTGGAGTGGCAATGTTATTATCCTAACTTGATTACCACATTTTTTTTTGATAAATAACTTGATTACCACATTGAGCCAGCTCAAGATTCATTTCAAACATGAAGTTAAATATTAGTTTTTGTGTGTCAATAGATCATTCGGTTCATCTATTAGAACCATTTGCATTTTCTGAGTTTAAATTTTGCTTCAACTCATTCTATCATGTTTTGAGTCTTAAGGTTTACAAAAGCAACTTAAGAATGTATTCTTTTGTCTAAACTTTAGTTGTTTTTTTTTTCACTTTGTTTAATGATTTGGAACTAGATAACAATTTAAAAAGGTGTGCCAATGCTTCCTTTATCATTTCATAAAATAACATTCTATGTTTTGCATATTTTACAATTCTTCCATCATGTGTATATTTTTTCCAATATTTCCATTGGATATTTCTGACATTTCCGACATGTTTCCTATATTTGAGCAACTGACATTTCCACCAACATCAACATTTTAAACCTTGCTTTTCATTCCTGTTTCAGTGCATCCTAGTCCTTCTTCTTCTCCTATAATAGCAATATTCCTTCCCCTCCTCTTGTACATCAGCCTCAGTCATGGCAGCAATAGGGGTGCTCACGGTTCAGTACCGAACCGTGGACCTATTTTTGAAACTGAACCAGGGTACCAGTTTTTGGAAAACCAGTAACCGAAACCGAACCAAAGCTGATCAGTTAACCAGTTGACCGGTTCGGTTCGTCAGTTTTTCAGTTTTTTATATTTACAATATATTATAAACAAATATATAAATATATAATAAAAAACTAGAAATATATATAAAATATTATATTTTAAATAATAAAAATATATTATATATTATAAATATATATTTATATATAATGCATATTTATTAAATTATAATATATAGAAAATATAAAATATATATAATATACATAAATATATGTAAAATATACCTTCGGTTTTTTAAAAATACTGAGCCGAGCAGTTCGATTAACCGGATTTTTGGTTCGGTTTCAATCGGTTTTTCAGTTCAGTTTGGTTTTTCGTTTTCTCTTGCTCACCCCTAGGCACCAATGCTTCATCACCGAAGTAAGAGGGTGGCTCCTAAAGCTAAATGTCCACCACAGTCTGATCATCCGAACTCAAGTAATCTTGACCTTGCATCCCTTGTTCATCCTAAGCCTATTAGTATCTTTGTTATTGAACCTGATGCCTTAAATTCTAACCTTGATCTCCCTATTGCTATTCGTAAAGTAAAAAGGGGATGCACCAACTCTCCCTATTGATTGCACTTTGTTCATAAGGATAACTAATGACCCTATGACTTTGTTGATAAGTATATGTTGATGATATTGTTGTCATTGGGGATGACACCTCAGTTATTTCTCAGCTAAAGTCCTTCCTTGCCTCTGAATTTGAGATTAATCACACTTGATGACCTAGATATTTTCTTGGAATTGAAGTTGTAAAGTCAAAGGAGGGGATTTCACAAAGAAAATATGTTCTTGACTTGCTCCAAGAAGTTGGGAAATTGGAGTGCAAGCCAACTAAGACCCCAATTGACCCCAATCATAAATTGAGCGTTGTTGATGGAGATGTTCTTCCAGGCAGAGGGATTTATCAAAGACTGATTAGTCACCTTCTTTACTTGTGCTTGATTAGGCCTGACATATCCTATGTCGTTGGTGTGGTGAGTCAATATATGCACGAGCCCAGAACTTCCCACATGCAAGCTATTAACCATATTCTTGCTTATTTGAAGGGATGTCCTACTAATGGAATATTATACTCCAAAAATGGACATTTAAAGATCAAAGCTTATATAGATGCATATTATGTAGAATTTGTTGATGGCAAAAGATCTACATCTATCCATTGTGCTTAGTGGAAGGTAATGCGATATCATTGAAAAGCAAAAATCAATTAATTGCTTGTTTTAGTGCAGAGGCAGGATACAATGCAATGGCTCATGGAGTATCTAAATTGCTATGATTGAAGACCTTACTAACAAAGATGAGTATTCATGCCGATGTCCCAATGAGACTCTATTGTAACAACCAAATAACTATAAAGATTACCCATAATCCTATTTAGCATGATCATACAAAACACATTGAAGTGGTCAAACACTTTATCAGAGAGAAGATAACAATGAAGAAATATGCGACCCTTTGTGAGATGGGAAGACCAACTTGCTAATTGTCTTACCAAGGGAGTTCCCAAGTCAAAGTTCGATAGTAATCTAGGCAAGCTGGGCATGAGATATCTATGCTCAACTTAGGGAGAGTGTTGAGAATATTTATGTGCATGGGCATTACTGTCATTTTTCAACTTAACACTAAGACAAGTTTTGAGGGTGTGAACAATAACTCACACTCCTTTTTGACTCACAACTTTTGTCTCCCCTCTTCTTCTCCTCTTCGTCCGTTCTCTCACAATCTAATCTTGCAACTTGAAAAAAGGAATCTGTTAGCTATGTATTCTGGTCCAATTGGGGTAGGAGATTCCTTGAGGGCTGAGATACTAGCAACTCTTAAAGGGGTACAAAGGGTCAAGGACATGCATATTAATAAATTGATCATAGAAGGAGACTCTGAAATTATGGTGAGCTGGCTAAAAGAGGACAACTCTAGGCTTTGGAATTACAACAATGAAAAGAGGAAATTTAAGTGGCTGACTAAGGACATTGAAATTCAATGTACATGGGTAAAGAGAAGTGCAAATTCATTGGCAGATGGTCTAGCTAGACAGGGGGTGAACAGAAACTCTATTTTTTGGGCTGTGTTGTAATTGCTTTACATTTTGGGTGTACATTAGATGTATTCGGGAGTTAAGAATGTTTAGCTCCTTTGCTATATAATTTTTCAATCCTTTAATGAAATTCACTGTTATTGATAAAAAAAGGAAGATTGATCAAGACCATGATTTCTTCTTACAAAACCTAAAACAACTTCATGGCATAACAGAATATTATCAAGAATGGACCTTCCTCCAATGAATGCAGATTGGTTTCACTAGTGCATCAACCACTTTTATCACCCTATTAGCTATAACCTTAGTGATAAGCTTGAAAATCAAGTTGCATAATGCAATAGATCTAAGTCAGAGAACTCAGAAGCACCCTCTTTCCAAAGAATTGAAGCTAAAAAAAGTGGAGTTCACTTCCGACGGTAACTTACCTGAACTAAAATAGCACCCTCTTTCAGGCCCAGGGAACTTGTCCAGCTTGTTCTCAAAAGTTGGAGCCCTGATTTCTCCATCATTTGGAATTGCAGCTAGCATCCCCCTGTCCTTGTCTTCCAAGACCCTTTGAGAATTGCAAGTCTTGTAAAGGCTCCACCTTCCCTAGCTGAGAAAGATGCTGGCATCAAACAGAGCTCCATAGAAATCCATGTCCACAGCCTTTATTCCTTGTGGATCAGAAATCAGCTCCCCATCCCTTGTTCTAACTGAAGGGATACGATTAAAATTTCTTCTAGCCATCACAGAGCGATGGGAAAGGCAGTATTTGAGTTATCCAACTCCAACCAACAAACTCTGGACTTCTGTTTCTGTAAAGATTCCTTGTCTTCCTTTTTTTTTTTTTGTAAGAAGAGGTGAAGAAGTTATTCCTCATCTTGAAGCCTCTGAACCAATGTGGTATAATCTTGCCCTTCCTTCTGAATTAATTCTTCACTGAAAGGTTCCCTTCTGACAGCACTTTATTATGTAGAAATTTAGCA